CCACATTACTGGTTGGAGAGAGACTGGTGGAACCCCCGGGATTATGGCCCCAGGTTACCCTTCAGGCCTAGAGATGGACTCACTCCCATGGACTGGCTCTCAGCGCAACAGCAGAAAGACCTACATGCAGAACACCTACCCCAGGGCGATGCCCCCACCTGCTCTACGGAGATGCACCCCTTAGAGCAATCGGCCATGTAAAGGAAAAAGGCTTGAAAAGACAAGAGGAAGGGGAAGGGTGCCAAGGAGGAAGGATCACGTGGAGAACCTACTGCGGTGAGAAGCAAAGGCAAAGGCTCCGTAAATGGCAGCCCCACCACTGCGTCAGCGTGACGAGAAGGCCTGTGACAAACCCATGCCCGTCGTTTCCAGTGGCCGTTTCTGGAAAAGCTCCCGAGGCTCTTCGTCCAGGTGCCTGGGGGTGGCCTCGAACCAGCCACTGACAGCTGCTGAGCCTGCTCCACACGGGCCACACCCAGAGTGCCAAGGCCAGGCAGGGCTGTTTCTGCCACGTTCTCTATGACATGGGACACTGGGAATAACCTGCACATGTACAAGTGAAGCGTGGGTGAAGTAACGTTCAGTGTATCTATAAAACAAAGTGAGCGGTAGAGCCGGGCAATGAATAAGGAAGACTGAGGAAGAGCTGATGCTTTCGAGTTGTGGTGCTGGCGAAGAATGCTGAGTACCACGGACTGCTGAAAGAACTAACAGAACCGTCCTGGAGGAAGTGCAGCCGGAATGCTCCTTGCAAGAGAGAAGGGACAGACTTCGTCTCACCGACTTTGGTCACGTTGTCAGAGGGACCATTCCCTGGAGAAGGGTATCATGCTTGGTAAGGTGGAGGGTCAACCAAAGAGGGGAAGGTCCTGAACAAGATGGCCTGACCCAGTGGCTGTGCCGATGGGCTCAGGTACAGCAGGGATCGTGGGGCTGACGCAGGACCAGGCAGGGTTTTGTTTTGTTGTGCATGAGGATGCTATGAGTCGACGGCACCTAACAACACAACATAAAACAGAATATAACACAGTCATTGGGGATGTTAATGAAGGTGCGTGTTTATTTACTTGGATGGAATAAGTAGACAATACACAAGGAATAAGTTAGAAATGAAAGTGTATCCCCAAATATTTAAAGTGGTTATTTCTGGAACATACAGAAATACATAGAGTATTATCATCAATAAACAGAACCAACCCAAGGTGCTTGTTACATACAAATTCCCGGGCCCCCGCCCTCAGAGGTTCTCAGTGGGGTTCCCCAACCACACACACCAACGAAAAGTTAACCCACTGCTATTAAGTTGATTCCAACTCACAGCACCCCTAGAGGACAGAGGAGAACTGTCCCACAGGGTTTCCAAAGTTACTAATCTTTATAGAAACAAAGAAAGCCCAAGCCAAACCCATTGCCATGGAGTCAATTCTGGCGTCCCGAGAGGACAGAGTGGAACTGCCCCACGAGGTTTCCAAAGCTGTCAATCTTCACAGAATCAGACTGCCTCATCTTCCTCCTGTAACTCCTGGTGGGTTCTAACTGCCAGCCTTTGGTCAGCAGCCAAATGCTTAACCACTATCCCATCAGAGTTCCTTTCACTACAGACACCTACTCAGGCTAATTTTTACGCACAGGCTGGTCTGACCCCGTGTTTGGGTTTGGGGAGCCTTTGAGAATCTGACATGAACTACACGTCTTCTCCCCTGAAACATGACTGGACACGCCGTCTCGGGTGCACCTTAGGAAGGCCAGTCGTGACTCCAGTTAAGTACGGAGAATCCAGGGCGAGGTCTGCCTCCCCCCTCCTTTCTCTCTTGCTTTAACTTTTCCTGAGATGCCCTTGCTCCCAACTTCCTGAAGGCTGAGAAGCTGGCCGAGGCCAGGGTTCCTGGTGGCGCCCCCGCCGTCTCCCTGCAGGACAGGCCCTGGTACCCTTGCTTCGGCTGCACGGTGGCAGCTGCCTCTGATGCCCACGCTGCGCATTAGCTCTGATCCTGCCCGTCATTAACAGCAGGCATGACTGTCCCTTCTGCAGTTTGCTGGGTGAGACGGAAGCATTTCACAGTATACGTGGGAACGGGGCGATGTAGTGGCTTCTGTGTTGAGGTGGGGTCTCAGTGGTACCAAGAGCATTCAGGAGCAGGCCTTACAAGGAGCTCCCCTCCTTCTGTGTGTTCCTCCAAGGTCACAGGTGGCAGGAGAGGCTCTGTGGCTTCAAGAGGGGACCATGTGGAGGAGACGGCCTCACTGGGAAAAGCAGTCTGTGCACAACAGAAATGGACCCGACCACCAGGGGGCACTGTGGGCCAGTCAGAAGAGCCCTTCATCCCTCCAAGCCTGGGATCTGGTCATCCTGCTGCAAGAGGCCTCCGCCGACCCCCACCCCTGCCTCCTCCTCCCCGAGTTCTGCCCAGGGCTGGGGCTCCTTGGTTTCTAACACCCTGGGGGTGTCTCTTCCCATCTGCCTTTGCTCTTGGCTCCGCAGCAGAGTAGGATAAACAGGCAAAATGGGCCAGGAGAGACTTGCTGAGCCCAGAGTAACAGAAAGAAAACCCAAACACTCTTCTTGTTTTTTAATGTCTGACATTAAAAAACCAAGACAAAATCCCTACAACCCAAACCATGCCCTTGACTGTCAACCACTTTCTGGGTCCAGGGCTCCACCTCCAGTGCCCTCTAGAGGCGGGACTTCCTGGGCTGTCCCCGTCCCTAGGTGCTGGGTCGGGGAAGGCTCCAGCCCACGGGGGCCTGGCACCCTCGGCCTTCAGCCCCTGGGCCACCACGGACCCAACTTCCCAGAGAGTCTGGCAGATACGTGGTTGTGTTAGGCGCTTCCCCTTCAGGCTGAGCGGGGCTATTTCTTGTGGAGGAATTTCATTTTATTGCCTAAAGAGAGAAAGTGAGCCGGTTACAGCAGGCAAGTGAAGGAGCCAGTGAACATCACCCTTTCCACCCCCGCTGTGGCAGGACGCCTGGGCCCTCGGCCCCCGAAACTCAGGCCTGGGCTCTGCAGGGACCGCTCTATCCTCGTGGATAGTGGCCTTCTGCAGACTTGGGGGTCTGGCAGGAAGAGTGCGGGGCGTGGAGGAGGGTTTGCTTCTAAAACAGCAACACGGAGCAGGGAGAGTGGCCCGTGCCCAGAGCCAGGCAGGGCGGACAGAGGCCTCCCAGCGTCCCTGGCCCCTCAGCCTCATCCCAAGCCCCCTCTCGCTGCTGCTTCAGCCCTCCTTTTCCAGCCAGTCTGAGCGGCACCACGGTCCTGTCGTTCTCCCAGTCCCACTCTCAGGGGTCTGGGGACGGCCCCACCTCCTGTCACCTGCTGAGTCTTCCTGCCGCCCCCTCCTGCTGCTTCCCTGATTCAGATGCCAGGGGATGACAGAGGGAACAGACAATGGGCAGCGGAGCTGGCAAGACCTCCCTCTGGCCCAGAGAGGTGTGGGGCAGCGTGCGTTCTCTGCTCCCTCTGGGGGGACGTGGGGAGGAAGGTGGGCACACCCACGCGGTGTGTGATTTAGGCCCGGCTCCCGTGCAGGGTGCCGGCCAGGCTGGGGCCCGGGACCGACGCTCTTTACCTAGTCCCTTCAGGAACCGGTTGACACCACCATGCTCGCCACTGGGGAGTGTCTCCAGGTACTCCTGGGCTCGGACCTCAAACAGACCTGCGGACGAGAACCCGCCCATTGGAGCGTCCTCCCTGGTGCTTTTTTTAATCTTATGTTTTTTCTTTTTTTTACTCTGCTTCAACGGTTCATGTACGTCTGATTTCATGGCCCCGAATCCTGCCCCCAACCATCCTCTCCAGTGCTTCTGAGTGTGTCCGTCTCCTCCTCCTGCTCCCAGATACCCACTCTGAACATGAGGTTCATGAGCAGCCTGTCACCCTCATGATCGCCCAAGCTTGTGCAGTAACAGTTTCTGGAAAGGTAGCACGGACATGAAATCCCATTTTCGGTCCACGAACACCTGCCCAGCATCTGCCCGCATTAAGGACACGCCACACGGCCCTGGCTCTCTAGGAGCTGCTGGTCACTCCCACCCACAAGCCTCCTCTGTGGGAGAGACACCAACCACGTCATTCAGTGTCCTGGGAGCCCATTTCCCACCTGGGAACATGGTGCCTGGCCTAGCTGTCTCTTGGGTTCCTCAGTTCTTCAGCCCCAAGTGATGGTTCAGGGATTGAGGGTCCTTATATGTTACCTGGAAGCATTCCCACCTCTCTCAAATGGTTATTGGGGCCATCCAGTCGCCCCAACTCATGGCGACCCCATGTCCAACAGTCTCAAGCCACCCTTGCGACGGGTTGTGGACTGGACTGTTGGGAGCCACACTAGGGTTCTCATCGGCTGATTTCCCAAAGGTCACTAGGCCTTTCTTCTCAGTCTTAGCCTGGAAACTGCCGAAATGCGTTCAGTATCCCAGCAACACGCAGGCCGCCAACGAGGGGTGGGGGCCACGTGCAAGTGACTGGCCGGGAATCGAGCCTGGGTCTCCCGCACAGAAGGTGGGACTGCTACCACCAAGCCATCAGGGACCCCTCTCTATGGAACGGTGATCTGTAGGTGGACATGTCAGGTCCCTGCAGACCTCCCGCTGGTACGTCTTACCACTTGAGGCTCTTACTGATGGTCTTCTGTCCCTCAGACAGGACAGCTCAGAACTGCCTAAGATTGGCACACGTCTGTCTCTACTCTGCAAAGGGCTCTGGGGACACCGGGTGTTGGGCTTCTAAGAGCCCACCAAGCCTCCAGCCTGTCAGACCCTCTGGGGTCCCCCTAACCGAGAGGCACCAGCAGGTCTGGTGTTTTGACTCTCAAAGGGCTTGAGGTGATGCAAGCCAAGAGCTAGGTGGCTTCTCCACCCCCCCCACCTCTCCCCTCGTGCACCCCTGGAAGGTCACCGGGGCCCAGCAGAGAGCGGAGGGAGGGAAGACGGGTGCAGGCAGTGGTCACTGCTGCGGCACTTGGCCCGGGCCACTGCCCGAGGGGCTGGACCCGCCATCCGCGCGGCGCTCACCCTTGGTGTCCTGCCGGCGCAGCGCCCGCTCCTGCACGAAGCCTCGGAACGTCTGCGTCTCCATGAAGACCTCGAGGAAGCGGCGCTGGCTCCGGGACGACACGGCCTTGCGGAAGGCCTCCCGCTGCAGCGACCGCTCCTCACGCTCCCCCGGTGTCAGGAACAGCGAGTAGTGGCCCACGATCTCCACGAAGAAGCGCACGAAAGCCTCGGACACCACCGCATTCAGGGGGCTGGACTGGGGGCCTGGGGAGGGGCGGGGCCAGTGGGGAGGGCTGGGCGTGGAGTGGTATTGGGGGGGGCCAAGCCAGTGGAGGGACCACTCAGCGGCGAAGGCGTGGCCTGGGGCGGTGGGGGCGGAGCCTGGGGCGGCGGGGGCGGGCCCAGCAGCAAGCGTGGAGCCGGAAGGCGAAAGCCACTGGGACCACCCAGTGTGGAAAGACGACTTAGTGGCTCTGTGTCTGCGGTCACAGGTGACCCTGTTATGAAGTCAGCTCTTTCCCCTTAAATAAACGTCCCAGGGCCTAAACGGGGGAGTGGGAAACGTCCGCCGGGTCCGCGGTTGGGCGCCATGACCCGCTGGAGAGTGGAGCCCAGCAGCTCCGGAGCGGAGTCGCGGGGCCCTGCGGAGGGGCGGGCCGCAGTGCACGGGGGCCGCACTCACCAGGCCTGCCGTCCACGGAGCCCTCCTCCGGCCCGCCAGCCAGCTCGTCCCTCCGCTCCAGCACGTGCTCCAGGGCCGCCTGCAGCTTGCGCGGCAGGATGGAGTCCTCGTCGTCCATCTGGGAAGCAGAGCAGCCGTTCCCGCACTGGACGGGTGGGTGCACCCCAGGGCAGCCGGCTGTGTGGGGGGGGCTGAGGCCACTGTTCACCGTGACACTGTCTACCTCACCGTGATGAATGAATGCAGCAGTTACCCTGTTTCGGAAGTGCCTGATGCTCACTGGGTATTCAGAAATGTCTCCTTTGGTCCCACCTGTAGGGCTCATCCAGGGACCATGGCCAGGGCAAGGCGGCCAGTGTGATGCAAAGTGGGCCTCAGAGAGGCGGGCCTTGGGGCAGACCCCCCAGTTCATGGGGCCCTGTGGCCCTAGAGCCTCAGAAAGTGGAGGTGGGCAGCACCCACAATAAAACAAAGCACCCACACCACCCAGCTCCTCAGCAAACAGCTCAGTGCGCAAACACAATTATTGGAATGCCCACAAAAACTGTTATTTTTTGGAAGATCTGACAGAAGTTAGACCTCTCTGACAGATGATGGAAAGAGAAGTGTAGTGTTTTCTCTGACAGCAGAAACAATTTATGACAGAAAACCCACATCATAAAATTCCTCATCACCTGTCTCCCTGTGGTCCCCCAGCCCAGGGTAACTGGCCAACATTTTGGGTGCATTTTCCTTCCAACCTTTTTAAGATTTATATGATATACCCTTTTTTTCTTAAAAAGAACCCCAGAGCAGCAAGATAATATTGCATCCTGATTTCTTCCACTTAATATGCTGTCATGAACGTTTCCCTGTCATCAAATATTCTCTAAAGCGTGTTGAACAAGACAAGTGCTTGGAACTGTAACCTAGGCAAAGATTCTAATGTTACAAGCGTGTTTTGTGACAGGATCCATGGGGATCCACCCCTGCCTCTGCCTCACCTACATCCGGCCCAGGTCCGTGCTGCTGGGCCACCCAGCCTCCCAGAGCGGATGGGTGAGCTCCAAACAGAGAGGAAGGGCACAGAAGGAGTCAGGCTGACCCACCTGCCTGAGGAACCGGTTGTTGTCCAGGTCAACCACGAGGACCTACAGGACAAGAGGGAAAAGGACCAATGTTATCATCACCACGGCCTTGGGGACAGACAGAGGCGGGCCCTCCACCTGTCCTTCCCGGCACGCAGCGATGGTTCTCTGACACGACCACTGCGGCCACAGTGAGGGGAGAGGAGGTGGGGCAGGGCTGTCCCCAACGGTTTGCTTCCCACACTCACACGGCAGGCGGGACACACTCACAGGCTCACTGAGGCCGACCTTTCAGACCTTCTGTAGAGTATGGCTGCTGACGTGGGGACCCTCCACTTGTTCCCACTCCTGACCCCAGGGCTCTTCCCTCCCAGCCACCCACTCTACCTTGTCACTTCTCACTGTGGGAAAGAGGGGTTCATGCCTCCTAGTGGGACATGCGGGGGTGCAGAGAAGCAGAGTCCGGCTGGCACTGGTTACAGCTGCCTCTTCAGGGTGCGCCGAGACCCAGGGCCAGGACTAGGTGGGCAGGTGAGGCACTGAGGGCGTGGAGCTCAGAGTGCTGTTCACCTGACCCTGACTTGCTGACTGGAGAGCCTAAGGCTTGCTGTAAGGGGCAGGCCCAGCAGCCGCTGTGCGCCAGGCCAGGACGGTACGTAGACGTTTGAGACCCGCTGGGACTGCGGGAGGCCCTCCCTCCTCAGGCTTTCTGGGGCCAGACTGAGCTGTCCTAGGACCATGGGCACCAGAGGAGCTCCCACTGGAGACCCCAGTCTGAAGCTGGTGCTGAGTGGCTTTGGGAGGTGGCAGGCATGAGAACAGCAGCACTGAGGACCTGGGGGGTAAGGCACCCTGGGTGGCCCCCAGCTCCTGACCACTCACTGAGGGGTCATGATTTGGGAACGGGACCGTGACCCAGTAATTACAGAAAGTTCCAGTGCACCCGGGACTTGGTAGATGAGGACATGTGGGTGGCTGGCTTTGTAACTGATGTGGAAGGGTGCCAATGTTCATGAGCACAGTTGGGTCAGCTTCGTTAGCAGTGGAGACAGAAACACTACCTCCTCCCTTACGGAGTCTCTGGAACTGCTGCTGGTGGCCCAGGTAGCATGGTGTCCTGTGGTGCCCCTGCCTGCTTGCCAGCTCACCTCCCCCAGCTGGTGGTCCAGCCGAGGTCCTGCCCCAGTCGGCGTGCCGGCACATAGCGTCCCCCGCGCCCTGCCCTGTGCTCACCTCCTCCAGCGGCAGTCCCTGGAGCAGCGGCAGCGTGCTGGCAAGCAACCCGAGGAGGAAGGGGGTGGGCGAGCACACGATGTCAATCATGGAGGGTGGCAGCACTGGGACGTAGGTGTGCTGCCAGGTGAAGGGGTAGGTAAGCGCCAGCACCGCGTGGCAGCACGTGGACAGGGTGCTGTGGGACAGAGAAGGGCCATCAGCGGGATGAGGATGCAGAGGGCTGTGTGGCCGGGCTCCTGGGCCAAATGTGAGTGTTCTAGAGGGGTCCCGCTGTGTAAGTGTGTCCCAGGTGCACTGGGCTACGCCAGAGGTGCTCTGACAGGGCAGAAACCAAAACCAAACGTGCTGCTGGCGTATCCTCTCTGACTGATGGCGTCCCATGTGACAGAGCTAAACAGCCCTGTAGGGCTCACTAGGCTGTCATCTTTACGGGAACAGACCACCAGGTCTCCCTCATGCAGGTGCTGGGTGGCTGAGAAAGACCAGCGGCTGAGTGCTTTAACCCCGGTGCCACCAGGGCCCTGTTTTGCTTGCAGCTTGTGTGTTTTGGGTGTAGCTTGAGTGTTTTCTTATACATGACTGCATGTGCTGATGACGTGAGGGTAGTCCCTGGGGACACCGAGGGCCTCTCAAGGTAAGCTCGACACACGGCATAAGGTGCACACGTGCCTGGTTGCTCCCGGTGCTGCAGAAGGGTGTCAGGAAGAGCCCTGGAGGCCAGCTCGCACCGCAGGGGGTGGAGTGGGAGACGCCAGTGCCCACAGCTGTGGGCACTTTGTACAGGCGCAGGGGCTGGGTCCCAGGGTAAAAGGTAGGCACAGGTGAGACGGGTCAGGTCCCAGGTTTTGCTCTGTGGTCCCTGAGGTGAATGTTCCGGAGATGTCAGGAAACGTGTGTGACTGCCATTGTTCTCCTGGAGCAGATGGTGGAGCTCTGGGTGCTGCAGCCCCAGGGCCACGCGTGGGGTTACCGTGCTGTGCTGGCTTCCACCTTGTCAACGGGCCACCAAGAATCTGGACGGAGCTTCCTCCACGACACTACTGGGAAGGCAGTGGCAAGCACCGATCAGCCAGACACCTGGGAACCTGGGTTCCATCTCCTTCAGCGTCTCTCCTCCTGGTGCACTGATCGGCTCAAGGACAGGGGCTGCCTGGATGACGGAAGGTAACTGCCGTCTGGTGGCAGGTGAGTTCCACCAGGGCTACCACGTTCAGCACTGTACTCGCAGACCCTGCAGTAACGCGGCACAGGGCTGACACAGAACACAGCACCCACGGGCGCCTGGTGGGGCTGGCACAGCCCTGACCGCCCTCGGTCTCAGATGCGTCATCTGTATAGTAGGTGAGTGGACAAGGTACTCTGCAATGTTCTTCCAGCTTTAATGTCTGTGAACCATGAACACGAGAGCAGCAGAGGTCAGGAGCTGGAAGCAGGAGTGTCATGTGAGGCCGTGAGGAGGCTCACGGCTGTCGCTGTAGCTCTAGGGCTCCTTAGAGGATACAGCGCAGAATAATAGGGACGCCTCCCTCCAAGAAGCGAGTGGACAGAAGCGTCCCAGAGGCCCCCAGGAGACAGTGCAGGGCAGTGACCCGACTCCAGACAAGAACCAGGATGCACTAGGGACGAGCTGGGGCTCTGCCGGGTCGGATGGGATCTGTCTGGTGTTCAGATGCCAGAGCAGGTAGTTAATTCTTAATATTCAGTCAGGCTGACATTCAAACTCACTGCCATTGAGTCGATTCGACTCATAGCGACCCCTCCTTGGGTTTCTGAGGTGGTTATCACGATGGAAGTAGATCGCCCAGTCTTCGTTCCGAGGAGTCGCTGGTGGGTTTGAACCACTAGCCTTCTGGTTAGCAGTCGAATGCCTTAGGTGCTATGATGTTCTTAAAATGGTATTTCCCATAGGACTTTGCTGGGTTTATCTCAGACTCTGTCAACTCCACTGATGACTGGTCAGACCTCTGAGTCACTGGTACTTTGGTCTTCAAGCTCCAAGGTGGCTTTGCACAAACTCGTCTGTCGAGAGGGTGTATTCACAGACCACTCTTCTTCTGAGATGCAGACATCCTTGAGTACAACGGACTCTCAGAGGGCTGCAGAACCCCTACTTCAGCTTTCAGAAACGGCTTAAAACCGAAGGAGAAGAACACATTGGGATGAAGGTGCGAGCGCCACATGGACTGGTTTGGCAGTGACCATGAGCCAAAGCCAAGGCCCAGACTCCTGTGTCTGTCACGACCTGACCGCCCGTCCTACTTTATTCGCCAGCAGTCTGTCACCAGGCTTATGGGTTAACACACTACAAAGGGATACACGTGAAATTTCTTAACTGTTAAAACGGTGTCCTATCTGATACTTTTGTACAAATTTCTTTATGTACAGCACTGTCTTGATTATTCAGCCTGGTGTGTAAGTTTAGCCAAAACTTTGGGGAACTGAAATCAATAAACTGAAAAAGAAAATACTTATCACCAGGGATCGAAGAAAGGGGTCCATGCAGATATTTATGGGGTTGTTATGACGACAGAACAAGCCACGACCACCACAGTCCATCTGCACACCTGGGCTTGACCGACCCCTCAGACACTCAGTGTCCACTCCAAAGAGGAAATGGAGGAAACGGTATTCTCAATTCGTTAGATTCCTGACTCAGCTTGAAACCCCATTAGTAACTCATACGGTGTTTGCTACGGTCCCCTGCTCCTTCCTCTTGCAGCGGGCAGCCTCGTTAGGCATGAAGAAGAAACTGGTCATGAGTGTGAGAGGGTGCTGGGACAGTGAGTGAAGGGCCACCTTGGACACTACAGTCATCCTGAGTCTGTGGCATGTCCCGTTCTCTGGTCTCACAGAGATGGAATGACAGAGTCATGAGGACAAGGCAGCTTTCCAACCTCTGTGCTAAGTGCCGTGTGGAGTGCTGGGCCTGGTGAAGGGGATGGCAGCGCTGGCGCCGTGTGCCAGAGCCCCCCACAGGCCTCGCTGGGCTGCACGAAGGATGCTAGGGTCCCCCATAGGCCTCCCCAGGCGGCATGGCAGACGCTGGGGTCCCCCACAGGCCAGATAAAGGCAGCCAGCAACTGTCTCCCCAACCTGTGGTTGTCAGATTCCACGGCCTGGCCAAAGTACCTGCCATTTCCCACGGCTATTTCCCCATAAACTGGTCCCAGCTAGTGGACGGACACTGCTTCAGGGACAGTAGCCTCTACGTGGAACAGCCAGAGAGGAAGAGAAGAGAATCTAAGCCAGTGAGCTCACACTCAGAACACACACCCCACACATATACACTCAGACCACACACATCACACACAACACGCTCACACCCCACACACCCAGACCACACACATCACAAACACGCTCACACTCAGAGCACACACCCCACACCCATACACTCAGACCACACACAGCACACACAACACACTCACACCCCACACACATATACTCAGACCACACACATCACACACAACACACTCACACTCAGAGCACACACCCCACATACACTCAGACCACACACATCACACACAACACGCTCACACTCAGAGCACACACCCCACACACATACACTCAGACCACATACAGCACACATAACACGCTCACACAGCACACACCCCACACACATACACTCAGACCACACACAGCACACACAACACGCTCACACTCAGAGCACACACCCCACACATATACACTCAGACCACACACACGCTCACATACACTCCCAGCCCACCCACCACACACACTCAGACCACACACATCACATACAACACACTCACCCTCATACCACACACATGCTCACATACACTCCCAGCCACACCCACCACACATACACACTCACACCAAACACATCATATACACTCACCACAACACACTCACTATACACATGCTCGTTACATCCCCATCACTCACGACAACACACATTCACAGAAACCACATGCACATTCTCACACACATGTGTCACCATGCTAGCACTCATACATTCATAGCACACCCACGTACACTTAGCACACATACCACACGTGCTCTCACACACAGTAGCATTCATACATTCACACCACATGTGCTCACACGCATGCGTCTGCTCTATAAGCAGCAAAGGCAGGTGAGGACCACCAGCAGCCGCCTGGCGCCGTTTCCCTCTCAGAGCCCCAGAAGGCACCAACACAGCTGACCCCTGACCTGGATCTCCGCCCCACACCACAAGAGAATACACACACTTCTGTTCTCAATGACACAGCTGACCCCTGACCTGATTTCCACCCCACACCACAAGAGAATACACACACTTCTGTTCTCAATGCTATGCCCTGGGGTACATTGTTCTGGAAGGCCCGGGGACTGACACTCTGTCCCCCACAGTCAACAACTCTGTAGGCCTGAAGGGGGTGGTCACTTAGCTGTCCCTAGCACACAGCCAGGCACCCCATTTCAGACACTAGGGGCGCCCCACAGACCCCATGCTTCCTGTGCTGTGGACGTGCACAATGGCTTGGCCAAGCTGAAGCCCCTGGCCTAGGAGGCACCTGGCCTACAGCCGCCTTTGGGAGGCCCACCTGACTGTCACTCAAACACTCCCACAGAAGCAGAAGGCTGGTACCTCAGCTTGTCAGCCACAAAGATGACTCTCCTTTCCAGGAGCAGGGAAGCGAAGACACAGACCAGGTGGTGGACGCTGAGTGAGGAGAAGAGAAACTCGAAGTCCACGTGTTCAAGCCGGGAGTCCAGCGGGCGGCATAGCTCGATCACCTAGGAGGGATAGGGCAGAAATGGGGGGCCAGGCCTACACAGTGGGCCATACCGCTTGGTTACCTGGGAGGGACGGGGCAGAATGAGGAGGGCCTGACAGGCAGAAATGAGGTGGGGCTGAGGGGCAGAAGTCAAGTGGGGCCCCATCTATACATCTCAGTCACCTGCCAGGGGTGGGGCAGAAATGA